CCACACACACACACTCACACTCCTGTGGGACACTCCATCTACCCCACCATCTCAGCATTCACGAGCCACACCTGGTGCCTTGAGGTACGTAGAAAAAACATAGAAAGGTGCGTCTACGGCCGAATTGTTGAATCTCTCTGAATCGAATGGGAGGCTTCCAATTGGATTCGCAGAGATTAACGAGTCTCCTGATTGGATTCGGAATTTTGGCCACCGAATCGGGCCAAATCTCCTCTAAATCGAATCAACGACCAAAGCTTCGCACAGCCCTAGTGTGTACATTTGTTCGGATCTGGAAAACAACTGATTGACTATCCTTTGTTATTGGCAAATGCTTAAATAGGAATTAATAGACTCTGTATTTACAGGTTTTTAAAAAGACCCCTCCTGGAGTACGGAAAATTGTAATTGCAACCAACATAGCAGAGACCAGGTAAAATATTACATGTACCAGGGGTGACCAGACTTCAACGTAACGCAAGCAGCATAAATTTTGATTTATAAAATTAGAAGTATAAATCTGTTAAATAATATGGGGAATGTATTTTGCTATTTTTTACTATTGGTTTATAATGCTAAAAATAAATTTCTCTTCATAAATGTTCTTAGGTTCAATCAATCTTCTAAGCAGATTTCAAGGAAACAGTTCAGAGTATGGAATTGTCATAATGTTTCAAATCTGTTGCGTTTTGAAGCATCTGAGTTGCTTGTTTTTCTGGCAAGCTTTTTTTCAACCCCTCTTTTATTAACTTTTACTACTGCAAGGCCGAGAAAAGTGACTCAGACTTTTCCTTAAACAGTTATGGTGATAAACAATTTAACATTCCGCCCCAGGGTTTTTATTTGCGGTTTGTAACTCAAGGAGAAACAGTTGACGAAGATGTAGACTGAGTTGGAAGAGCTGATGGTTAAAATATGCTTTTACTTGTGCAAATATTATAGTCCAACTTTTTGTGTAAACTATTCTTGTTCATGGTAATCCCTTGTTGCCATGTTTGAACTTTCTAAACTTCAGTCCATAATTTTAAAAAGTTCTTTAAAACTAGGAAGTAGATTTTCCTGTCGTATAATGGGGAGGGTAACTCGTGCCAGGTTATTCTGGCTCTGATTCCTGCTAGAGCACCGAGTTATCCTTAAAAGGTTTGTGTAAGCATCGGGATGAGTTTAGAGCAAAATTTTGAAAACGTCTTATCATAGCTTAGTTATGAACGATGATCATGCTGCATTTTGTGTCCAAAACCACCCCCCCAAAAATTAAAGTGACAAGCCTCCCACACATACCACTACAGGCTGATGTTGTTGTTGTTGTTGTTGTTGTTTGGTTGGATTTTTGTGGGGGGGGGTTGTTTTTGTTTTTTTTGTTGGCAATGTTAAATCTATCGGTGCTTAATGTAATACTTGATTTATAGGTACTAAGTGTTTGCTGGAGAGCTGCTACAGTAGAGCAAGAGCTGTCTTTCTTGTAGTTTAAAAGAGTACAAAATGAAGGTTTTTAAAATGTGTGCAGAATTGCTGCTCAATTCTCTTTTAGATGTAGCAAGTACACATCTTTTGTTTTATAGATAGACCACTTAAAATAGCACTAATAACCTTGATAATTGTATGCGGTCCTTGAAACTAGTATAACTTGTAATTAATTTCTTTATGTAGAGATGAAGTATTAGTTGGTCTCTGTAGATGGGTACTTCTGTTCATATGTCAAAGATGTGACAAATGAAAACTTTTTATTTTTGACAGCATTACCATAGATGATGTTGTGTTTGTTATTGATGGAGGAAAAATAAAAGAAACTCATTTTGACACGCAGAACAACATTAGCACCCTGGCTGCTGAGTGGGTTAGTGATGCTAATGCCAAACAAAGGAAAGGCCGAGCAGGAAGGTAAGACAGATGGCTAATAGAAAAATTCTCATTTCAGTAATCTCTAAAAGGGAATCTAGTTGTGTGCTTTTGCACTCGAGTTGAGAACCTTGATGTTCAGTCAGTGAATATTAGAATATTCTAAAGCATGATTTGGCATAACTGTCTCTCTTTTACTGAAAGAATGACTGTGCTAAGTTTTAGGAACCTGATTTACTTTTGACAGCCTCTAAAGATGTTTTTCCTTTACAATAAAATACAATTAGTTAGGCATTGTCTTGCATCCGCTTGTTTTAGTAGGGTTTTGTTGTTTTTTTTTCATATTGACATCTCGTTAAATGAGGATGAACCGTGGAACCAAATATTTCTTAAAAGCAGTGTAATTTTGCAGTATATCATTGTAGCCCACATTTCTGGTCTGTGTTCCCCTTATTGTCACTGCTTCTTCATTAATCTTATCACCATTGTGGGATGTTTTCAGTGTTGCTCCTGTCATCTCAAATCTGAAATCTTGCAGTTGCTTTTACCTGTCTAAATAGCCCTTAATTATAGGTCCTTGAAATGTTTTTTGTAATACCATTTTAGACACTGTTTCCAGCTAGGTTAAGATGGAGGAAAAAAACATTCATACAGATCAAATATGTTACAGAGTCCAGCCTGGTCACTGTTTTCATCTATACAATGGTCTACGTGCCAGTCTTCTAGATGATTATCAGTTACCAGAAATCCTGAGGACGCCTTTGGAAGAACTCTGTCTACAAATCAAGGTGAATATCTGTTAGAGGGGTGAGTTGTTGTGAATGGCACTACGTATTAGAATTTTTTTTCTGAATGCAAAGGTAAAGAATTTGCCACTTGTATACTAAAGAAGTTAAATAACTCTGAGCCTGAGGCTGTCCTTTGCTTGGCATAGCAGAGTCCAGCTGATTTGAAAAAAGCTGTTTCAATTGTTTCTTTGAGGTATGATAGAGGGTAAAGACCAGAAAAAATTGTTTCCCAAATTTGTTAAAAAACAATAAAAACCAGACTCTGAAGTACATCAGTCAGAGAACTCCTTCTCCCCTGCCCCCCAATTTCTTTTCTTTTAATGTTTATTAGAATTAAGGGCCTCTCTAATCATGCAGGTAAAGGCATGAGAGGGATCTAAGGTGCAATCCATACAATCGTACTTCCTACCATGCCATATATGCCTGGCAGGAGGTATGATTGAGAGATCTCACATTAGATCCTGTTGTGCCTTAGCATGCTGTGACTGAGACATCACAGCAAGGTGCTGCCATGACCCAGTGTGCAGCTGCTATGCACTGCCTTCAGCTGTGTAATGCCTAGTCCCTGGTGTACCCCTGTGGTGGAAGTCCAGTGAACTGACGGGGCTCCCAGCTACTGGGCCAGACCCTGCTACATGTGTAAATTTATATCTGGTTAGCAATTAGCTATAAATTTATTGCTGGAAAATGTGTAACTTTATAGCTAGTCAGACCTTTTTATGCCACCATACTTAATTTGTGCATGTAGCTAATTTAAATTAATTGCACGATTAACCAGGTAATTGTGTGATTTACATATAGTATGTTGTGGTGGGGAAGGGGCTTACAGAACAAAATTGATGCAACAGACAGAAAAGGACTATGGGTTGCAGGATTTGCTGGCTTAGCCCCTTCTGTCATTACTGTTAATGTGGTGGGGGGTTTTTTGGGTTTTTTTTTTTTTTTTCTTTTCTTTTCTTTTTCTTCCTCTTCCATCTCCATACTTGGCAGTTTGCAGTGAAGTGTGTGTGACAATGAACAGTTCATGGATCTTAAATAAAAGCTGTTCAGTTCACAACTTAATCAACACAAGTTCCAGACATGCAACTTGGATGAGGAATGGATCCCTAAATATAAATAACGTTGCTAGTGCCTGTTTTATTATAACTTAGTGATTTTTCTGTGGGGAAGGGGGAATAGATCTGAGTGTATTCCTAGTGAAATTGAAACTTACTTAGTGAGTAGCACGTTAGTGGTCTGCAAATGTTCACAGTAACATAAAAATATTCACTTTTCGAGTCATATTTCTTGGACCTTGCATTTTTTCTTCCAGATCTTAAAGCTTGGGGGAATTGCTCATTTTCTAAGCAAATTAATGGATCCACCATCTCATGATGCTGTAATGTTGTCCATAAACCACCTAATGGAACTGGTAAGCATCTTCTGTTCCAGAACAAAACGATTCATTTGCTCAATATAGAGTCCTCTTACTAAGTTATCTTAAGATAATTCAGGTCTGGCTAGTACAGGTTTGGATTATTGAATTGGCTCAGATTCTTTTGGCTCTCCATACATCCAGACTATATTACACAGCAGTGTTGCTCAATCTTCTGGCCCCACAGGCTGGATGAGTGGCACAGGGTTAGTCTGCAGGCCAGTTTGGGCCCCATGCACTGCGATCAGGTCCTCTGCTGCCTCAGCCCAGCTTGCATGCTGAGATTAGACCCCATGCCTTTATACCCCTGGCTTACGTTTGCGATCATGCCCTGTGCCATGTAGCTGTTACTGGCTGGCCCTGTGCACCCTGACTGGGTCCCCTGCCACCTGAGCCTGACCTTATGCTGAGATTGAGCCTCGTTCTACCCTGTGCGCCCCATCTACCAGGCAGGGCCATGGGCTTGGAAATTTGGCAGCAGGAAAGCAGCAATTAAACCTGCCATTGTTTGCCTGCCGCCAAACTTTTGGATGCAGGAGAGTCCTGTGGGCTAAATTATGTATGGCTCTGTAAGCTGGATCTGGTTCTTGGGCTGGGGGTCGAGCACCCTGCTTAACAGCATTGGAATCGCTATAGTCTGCCTCTGAAATGGAGGGAAAGGACTTGGGGCTTTAAAAATAGGAATGTAACAAATTGAGAGAACAGAACATGGAAAAGTACCATAACCTATTTTAAAATTTTGTTCTAGACTCTTTCCATCTAGTATGGTATAGTAATACTATTTGATATTGGTGCTTTGTCTAATAATCTTTTAGCAATCGCAATAAATTCTAATTACAAGAAAGATTTGCTGTTTAATAAAGGTACAGATATTCTAGCTTTCAATGTAGAACATAAGTTAATTCACTAAAGAAATTCAAGTTTGCCGCCACCTTAGCTGTCATGCTTTCCTTCCAATCGCATCGTCTGCTTCCAAAAAAAAGTCTTCCTTGCGTAAGAACTGTGCGCTTTTTTTTTTCTTAACAGAATGCTTTGGATAGACAAGAGGAACTGACTCCACTAGGTGTCCATTTGGCACGATTGCCAGTTGAGCCGCATATTGGAAAAATGATTCTCTTTGGAGCTTTATTCTGTTGCTTAGATCCTGTGCTCACAATTGCAGCCAGTCTCAGCTTCAAGGATCCCTTTGTCATTCCACTGGTAAACTGTCTAAGATGATATTGCAGATGAAACTAAGACTTTTTGTTTATTTTAAATCTTTTAAAATAATATTTGATAAGGGTTGATTTCAATTTGACTTAAAATTTGTAGAACTGTTTCTGCCAATCTCTCGCTATGGTGTTGTCATTGCTATCCTGAATATTGAAGTAGCTCACTAAAGCTATTTTTATTTAAATAAAAAAACAGTTGGGAGAACAATAGCTTTTCAGAGTTGGGAGTATTTGGCATGTTTTAATTTTTTTATTGTGTGGGTTTTTTTTTCCTTTAGGGCAAAGAGAAAGTAGCAGATGCAAGGAGAAAGGAACTCTCAAAGAACACTAAGAGTGACCACCTAACCATTGTGAATGCTTTCACAGTAGGTACATTAGTATTAATATTCCGTTAGTCTTTGCAGTTGTAGGTGTTCAATTTAATTGAAGAAGCTTTTAATTATGTGATTCCTAATCAAAGCTGATTTCTGTACACTTATAAAGCATTTGTGCTTGACCTTTACTGTGACACAATGCCTTGCTAGTGATACAGAACTTTCTCTGGATTAATAGTAGCCTCATTTCCTGCCCATTGCTTTATTAAGGGGAAAGGAAGAATGGGTAAATTCACAGTTATGCTGCAGATGCCTAAATATTAGGGCTGTGTGAAATGGCAGCATTCCATTTCAAATTTTGTTTCGATTTGAAACAGGTGCTCCGTTTCGTTCCACTGACACAGTTTCACCGTTTCGACCCTGTTTTGACGTTTCGCCCATAGGATATAACGGGGAAGATCGAAACAGCCTATAACTTTGTCATTTCTGTCCTGATTTGGATGAAACTTGCAGGAATTCTTGCGCATTCTGAGGGCATGAAGCCTGCCAAGTTTCAAGGAGATAAGTGCAGCAGATTTGGGGAAACTGCACCCCAAATCTTGAAAGCAAAACTCATGTCATGTGTATTTGTTAAGCCACAGCGAGGTCAAAACTGCAGGCTTGCTAGCCCCTGCTGAGTCCATGAAGCCTGCCAGCTTTCAAGGAGATAGGTGCAGAGGTTCTGGAGCCCTGCACCTCTAGCTGCTGACAGACAAACTCGTGTCATGGGAGTTAGTTGTGGAACTGTGTCTGTCTTGGGGCAGAGGGGGGTGAAAACTGCAGGCCTGCTAGGCCCTGTTGCTGCCACGAAGCCTGCCATAGTACCTCACAATTGTTTAATGAACTTATTCTCAACACTCCTGTGAACTGGGAAGTGTAATTGCTCCATTTTACAGGTGATTAGTGTCTCGGCCGGGTGGAGCTGACCGAGGGGAAACGCTGGTTAATTAAGCGAACGTCAGGCGGGCTGGTGGATGGAGAAGCGAGACAGCGTATTGGTTTTATAAAGAAAGCTTTACTTACACTGCCGATGGTCACAGTGCAGGGAGGAAACTTGCTTGAGTTGCAGTTGCAGACAAACAAACACAAGTGAGATCTCTACCGAACCGAACCGAGATGAGTCGTCGATATACGACTCCACGAGCGCTTCTTCACACGGGGGATACGTCAAATTACACTATGACAGGGAGTGGCTAAGAGCTGATCAGGCCTCTCTGTCCTCCTCCAAGACACACGCGGAGTTTGCTAGGCTCCGCAGCGCGCTCAGAGTTCATCCACGAGATGGATGTGGAGTCCTCCAACTTGGGCAGAAACTTCTATAACCTTTTATACTGCTAGCGAGCCAATTGTTAGCTGCCACGTAGGAATAATTTAGAATCAGCCAATAATGAGGTACAAATTTGCATATGTGTGGTGGGAACTCTTTGCACCGGGGATTTCTCTCTGCAGCTGAGAAATCCACCGTGCAAAGAAAGCTCCATGTGGCGGGAAAATTCCAATGTGCCGAGGCACTAAAAATCATTCATAGATTCATAGATGTTAGGGTCGGAAGGGACCTCAATAGATCATTGAGTCTGACCCCCTGCATAAGC